AGTTATATGTTCCATGTCTGTTATTTCAGTGGCTAATATTTAGTGATCTATTATTTCATGTCTATTATTTTAGCTATTTTAACATGTGTACTTAACAAAAGTCTGAAGGTAATCAATATCTTTACCTTCCTCCCCAGTAAGAAGCTTAGAACACTTTGCCTCAAATTACCTGGTCCCCTAATTTATATAGTATTACTTTCCATTATCTTATTTTAGCCTATTTTCTTCTCACAATTTATACATTGTTTTTATTATTGATTTAAATATAATACTTATTTAGATTTATCCATACATTTACCAATATCTTCCTTATCATTACTTATTGGAATTTTTTGGGCTGTCTTGATTTGAGATTTGGCATTTTTCAACAATTGTGGAATAGTTCTCAGATATTACTTCCTCAAACAATGCTTCTTCCATATTCTCTGCATTATCGTTTTCAAATTCCAATTAGGCATTTTTTAGGCTTCCTCCCTTTATTCTCTATGAATCTTAACTCTCTTTCATCTATAATATTTCTTTGTCTCTTTGGATTACATTCTGGATTTCTTTGACTCTTTCTTTTAATTCCCTATCATTTCAGTTGGGTTTAAACTGCTTGTTTTCAATTTAAGTAATTCCATTCTCATCTGTAGTTCTACCTGGTTTTTGTTAAGATCTTATTCCCTGCTCATATTTTGAAGATGCTTTTTTGCTTTTTAAATAATTATTTAAATTTCATGTCTGCTAATCCACTTTTTTTAGTTCTTTGAGAGTCTGTTTCTTCTACCCCTTGCTTCTGCTGTGTCTCAAGGTACCTTTTTGTTTTGTATGAATTGGGAATTTTGTCTGTGAGTGTCTCATTTTACTTGGAATCTGATCAGTGAAGTCCTTTGAGTTGAAATTGAATTCATCCCAAGAAAATTTGCTTCTTCCTTGGCCTGTCCTCTGGCAGCACTATCTCCATGGGGCAAGCCTCTTCAATTGAAATTTTTTTCATACCGTATTTGAGACTCAAACCCCCAAGTGCTGGCTTATGATTGTAAAATCTTGAAGAGCTGTTTTTTGTTTTTTTTTATTTTGGGGTTTTGTTATTTGTTTTTGTCTCTTCACCCATTGGTAAAGTCAAGACAGGTAAGTTGGCAACTTACCTTGTTCCTTTCTGTGTGGGCATTAGGAAGACTTTTAAATTTTATTTTGAAGTGCTTATAGATTCATGGGGAATTACAAAAAGATATATAGGGAAGTTCTGTGTGCTCTCTTCACCTAGTTTCCCTCATTGATACCTTTTTGCATAACCATAGTACATTATCAAGACCAGGAAATTGATATCAGTACAATCAATACACAAACTATATTCAGATTTCACCAATTTTACACACACTTACTTGTGTTTATGTGTGTATTCTTCTATGCAATCTTGTCATATGTGTAGATTTGTGTAACTACCATCACAATCAAGATACAGATTGTTCCTTCACTGCAAAGTTCCCTAGAAGGGATGTTTCTAATTCACCCTTTGACTGCTGGTGACCCTTGGTAACTCCAGCTTTATGCGAAGGGTGTCCTATTAAATAGATTCATCATTTGCATGAGCTTTAAGCTTCATCTTCTCCTGTGCAGTTAACAGAGCAGAAAATCAGTGTCTGTAGGTTTTAACATAAACCCTTAGAGTAAAAGCTGGCTTTGGCAGGTGTTTTTAGCAAGGTTCCTGGTTTCACTTTATTTGGGAGACTTTGCAGCTTCTGTTATTTGGTGTCAGCTCTGGGATGTGTTTGAAAAATTACTTTAAATTTTTTTCAAGCATTTTAGTTGTTTGAGGAAGTTCATTCAGAATTTCTAATATGCCATATTCAGAAACAGATGACACTGGAAATGTTAAAAAAAAAATTTATCTTTATAGTTTTCATTGTAGTTCATCCATAGAGAAGTGGACTTTGTTTTATCTTGATGGCTGTGTGTCTATGATTAGTTCATGTTTAGATACCCTATTCATTCAGAATCCTATAAATTTATAATGTACCTCTTTATGAATAGTTTAATTTTTAGCCACATATATTTTATTTATCTTTATAATAGTCACAATATAAAAATAGCTAAAGCACAGAGAAGTTAAATAATTTCTTTAAGCTTATGATCATTGGAAAGTCTGAGACCAAAGTTCACATGAATCAAGTGTTTATCCAATTTTTTACAACTCAGATTTTGAATGGTTTTGCAATTAACTTTTAAGTTGCTTTCATATACTCAAATATAAATTACTTTGAACTTTTTCAAATCAAATATGTCCCATGTATGTCAATATGTCAAACTTATAATTTCAAAAGCAAACAATAAAAGAAAATATAAAATCCCTAACCCTCATCCTTAGAAAGTTTGAAATTTAGAAATCAACGTGTTTAGAAGTATCTGACTATTGCTCAGTATGCCAATTATTTTTGCACAGGGAATAAGAACCTGTGGGAAATCATGTTTTCGACAAATGGATGATAGGAGGAATTTGTCTTAATTTAAGGCCAAGACAAAACATGGGGAATTTCAAGCCTACGTGAAATGAAAAACTCGATGAAACTCAGCATGTTTTTTGTGGTTGTAATCTTATGATTGTACAGTTTCTCCATGTACAAAGGAAATAGAAAGACTGATGTTAATGCTGGGCTAGGTTAGTTTGTCTTTTAATATAGTACTATTTTTTTTTTCTGTTTCTGCTGCTTGAATCAGGAAGCACTAATTTTATTTCCATACATTTCTTTCTTCCTTCAAAGAGATTATTAAAAGTACTTTAGTTCACCTTAAGAATGTTTAGGGAGTTTATTAAAAATGTAGAGAGTATTGGCTGTTTTAAAATAAGTAAATGTAACTTTTATATGGGGAGTAATAATCTAGGGAAATAGGCTAGGCCATCAACTTCCCAAGATATTTACTGACTGTCAGAATTTAGGTAGATGTGAAGCAAAAGCTATTTAAAGACTGTGTTCTTATTGCTGTGGACAGATAGCTTTTCCACTTGAGATTTGTAAAAATTTGTGTCAGTCCAAATCAGTGAATTTAAACAGTGTGTATTGATTGCTAGATAGAATAGGTAGTTCCTGACCTCAAAAAATTTATGGTATATTGGGAAAGTCTGATAAGTCATTGTGATGATATTGTATTTACAAGTATACACGAACCTTAAGAACACAGATTGGGGAGGGAGGGAGTCTGGAGAAAGGGTGGTCAAGAAAGGCTTCGTAGAAAAAGTGATATCTGAGCTGGGCCTTTTAAGAATTAGCAGAATTATACCAGTATTCAAATGAAACCAGAGCATTCTACCACAGAAGGGCTCTCAAAATGTTACTCCTTTCCACCCCACCCTCATTCATTCCTTTTCTCTTTACCCTAATGGCAAGTCGAATGGATTCATGACTCATTTTACGTGCCCTATTTCTAATCAGTTATTGAGTTCATGTAAAACTTTAGGTCATCTTTCCTTGCATGTGCATTCCTAGACTATACTTTTTCTGAGTTAGAAAAGAGAAAAAGAAAACCAGGTTCAGCTCTTACCTTAGGAATTGTGAGAATTCTCCCTTCTCAGTTCTTCTGGGTCCTGCTATGGCTTGTTGACCAGTGCCCATTTATTTCCTCCTTCCCCTATTGGTAACTCCCTCTGACATGACCTGAGCTGCCTGCTTGTTCAAGTACTGTCCTCTCTTTGCTCCTCTCTTTGCTAGAATTCATTAATGTCAGCCCTTACTTCGCCTGGCATGTCATGTCCAGTCCCGAGCAGGTGGTCCAAACATCTACCATCTTGAGTCTGAGTAGTCATTCACTATCCATTATCATTTAACCAGCCTGTTGGGAGTGTGTGGGCTGACTTCCACTGCTTGCTTAGCCAACCAAGGCATAGACTTACTCAGACTTTAACCATTTTGCTGTACTTTTCACAATAGGACCCAGCACTCCCTCCACTACCCCACTGTAATTAATGGTTTCATTAGTATTCAATTGATATAATTAATTTAATTGTTTTTCCTAATATAATCGAAGCTTTTTTCAGTATCTCTACTAGTAAAACTATTTTTATCCTCCGTGTTACTGCAAATTTTCTGCCGATAAAAACTTCCAAAGGGGCCAAATATTATTTTCTTTTTGATTACTCGCTTTAAAGCTTTTCTGAACCAACAAAACTTAATATAATATAAGAAAAATTCTCAGACTCAGTCAAACTTAAGGTTTCTCTGGGTCTCAAACTCTGTTCTTCCCACCTTACCAATGCTACTTTGCTATTTTTACTCTAAAACCTTCATGGAAAATTTTAACTATTTGCTTCCTATAATTTAGCTTTAACCTACAGATAATTTTATTCATTGCTTAGCAATGAACCTAATAAGATTAAAGTTGTACATTCCAACTCTATATAGAGCAGTAAATTTCAGTGCTATTCGACATCAGTAACCTTGTAGTTTTCTCAGTAATTTAATCTATATGACAGCTGGGTTATATAAAGAACAAAGAGCAAGTGTTAAGGGAGTGAAATAGATTAACAAGGCTCCATTGCCTTTCCTAGTAAGAAATCATAGTGCTGGAGAAGGTAGACGATTAGCATCGGAAAGAGTTTTGAGGGGAAATAAAAACTCCTGAATTTAAGTTGTAGTTTTGTCAGATACTAAATTTGTAACTTGGACTATCTTTCAATCTCTCTGAATTATATTCTCTGTGGTAAAAAGGGACATAATAATATTAATAGAACCTCACAGCATCTCAGGGATTGAAATCATGTATGTGAAACTACTTAGAAAAAGTGTACGGTACCAGCAATAATGTAAGAAATCATTACAGTGTAGATTACCATAAGTGATACATTTTGGATACATTTTCAAATCATAAATGTATGGTAGCTTTCTAAAACCTGTATCATAGATGTGATTAACCTAGTTTATTCATCAGTAATCAAAAAAAAATGGTCATGATACTATATTAGTGAACATAATATACATAGAATGTTTATATTGTCTATTTCCTTTCTTTCACTGCCTTTACAGGAGAGCCTTGAACTTAGGAATTCTTCGAGATCCTGGATCAGAAATTGAAGATAGACAATACCAAATAGACCTGCAGTCCATCAATATTGGTACTGCACAATGGAGTCAACTAAAACCAGAGAAGGAAAGTGGCACAGGAGGGGTGCTAACAGAAAGTGAAAGGAATTCTCAAAATCCAGCCCTTGAGTGGAATATGGCCAGCAGGTAGGAAATGATTGAGTTGCTAATACTTCATTGCCAGAAGAACAGTAGGTGATACAGTCTTTAGCATATCCAACCTAAGTGTTTTGATATTGCTTCTGCTTTTCATTACAAGCATAAAATATATTTTGTAATTGTAGCTGATGATTTTGCTTGGAAACCTGCTAGTCCTACTGGTGTTACCACTGTAGTTATTACAAATTTAGGATTGTGTCAGTATTTTTTTTTTTTTAACATCTTGCTATTTGATGAAACAATCTACTTCAGGCTAAAGGATACATTCTCATTTTCTCTTGAAATCTGTTGTATTTGAGGTCAATTATTTTACTTATTTATCTTTTTCTTTTCTTTTCTTTTCTTTTTTTTTTTCTGAGACAAGGTCTTATTTACTCTGTTGCTCAGGCTGAAGTGCAGTGTCGCAATTATAGCTCACTGCAGCCTCAAACTCCTGGGCTCAGGCCATTCTCCTACCTCAGCCTCCTCGGTAGCTGGGACTACAGGCACGCACCACCACACCCAGCTAAATTTTTAATTTTTTTGTAGAGACGAGGTCTTGCAGTGTTGCCCAGGCTGGTCTCGAACTCCTAGCCTCAAGCAGTCCTTCCACCTGGGCCTCCCAAAGTGCTGGTATTACAGGCATGAGCCATCGTACCTGGCCTACTTATTTATCTTTAGCTTATTATTATTTAACCTATTATCTTAATAATAAGAGGAGAAAAGTAACAAATACTATGCGAAGTTATATTTAAGTTAGAGTACAGGAAAAACAAGAGTTTCTGGCTCTGGGATTCTTTCCATCCAGTTTAACTAAAAGCATCTATGTTTACAGAGAACATTTTTAGAGGAATTATTCCTGAATGTGAACTGTTAAGATTTATAGAGAGCCACTGCCATCTTACCCAGGCTGTTCATGGTTCTCAACAGAGAGATAGGCAGAATTGTTTGCCATTAATAGAAACAAGGTACTAGGCATTAAGGCTACTTTTTATATTGGAAAACTGAAGGTCTTTATGATTTTAAGACAGTGTTAATTATTTTTCATCTGTTTTTCTACTTATAAGATTGAATCAGTAACATCTGTTGCTTGTAACACGCCATGGTGGTTTGTTGATTGAATTTCTTTAAAACATCTTGTGCAGACTTTATTGTCTGCCTTTTGTAATGCTGATTGCTTTGGTTCTGCCCGTTTACCACCAGTGCTATGTTTGTCCATGGCTTGGCAATAAAAATAGTGCCAGTATTAATAATAGATTAAACAATGTTTATCACTTAATCTTCCTTATTTGACATAACTTTCACAATAAAGTTACTAAGTAAGAACTGTTATTTTCCCTGATTATTGATGAAGAAACAAACCGAGACAAGATAAACAATTTACCTAAAACCAAAAAGTAAAATGTAGTTCGTGCTCCTAAGCATGGCTTATAAGACCCTTCTTCTTCATAGACCTTTGCATATGATCTTCTCTTTACCTGGAACTGTCTTAACCCACCCTTTTCACTTGCCTAATTCCTGTCATTTATCAAGTCTCAGAGTAGACATCATGCTTTCCAGGAAGTCTTCCCTGAGCCTGTCACAAGACCAAGTTAGGTCTCAATTGTGTGTGTTTCTATCATATCACTTAGCTTATTTTATTCTAATTATCTATATGCTTGTCTGAGTCCTGAGGCAGAGATCCTTACCATCCTGTTCGTTGGTTTATCCCTAGCACATAGCACTGCCATAATACAAAATATATTATTGTAGTCCTTCACTGAAAAGTGATAGAACGTGCCCCTGAAGAGGGGTATAAATTTGGATAAAGAAGCACCACAGTCAGCCAAGGTAAATTTCAGGAGAGGGATGCAATTTTAGAGCCATCAGCAGGCGACTTGCCCGGCAGCTGGGGAATGAGTATTTTTGTCATGAAAGAGGATCTAGGTGGCAAACCACAGCATCAGCTACACCAATCATAATCTCCAAATATTACATCAGCCAGCACCAAGTCCCCTCATTCCTCTTCTTCACACAGTTTTCAGATTTAGGAGATGCGCTCTTATGAAACTTTCAGATTATCATGTCTTTGAAAAATAATCACAAATTCTGTCATCAAAGAAGATGACCCTTATTTTCCTAGGAAACCTTATGGCCACTTAGCCTTAATTATATCTGTCCTATTCATTCTTTAATTCATTTAACAAACACATTGTGTGTGTTTTAATAATTTATTGAAATAAAATTCACATACCATAAAATTGTGTTATACCATTTAAGATGAACATTTATTACATTCACAGTATTGCAGAACTACCACCTCCATCTAGTTCCAAAACACTTTCTTCACTTCAAAGTAAAACCTCTTATCTGTTAAGTAGTTTTTCTCTATCATTCTCCCTCCTCCCAGCTCCAGGCAGTGACCAATCTGCATCCTGTCTTTATGGATTTATCTAGTATGGATATTTGATATAAATGAATCATACAAGATGTGATCTTTTATATCTGAGTTCCTTCACTTAGCATGTTTTATAGGTTCATCTGCGTTGTTGCATGTAAAAAAGAGTACTTCAGATGGTCCCTTACTTATGTTGGTTCACCTTAAGATTTTTCAATGTTACGGTGGTTGTGAAAGCATAATAATAATGCAATAATAATGCATTCAATAGAAACTGTACTTTGAGTACCTGTCAGCCATTCTGCTTTTTGCTTTCGGTACAGTATTCAGTAAATCACATGAGATATTCAACACTTTATTATAAAATAGGCTTTGTGTTCAATGATTTTACTCAAGTGTAGGCTATCGTAAGTGTTCTGATCACGTTTAAGGTAGACGAGGCTAAGCTGTGATGTTCAGAAGGTTAGGTTTATTAAATGCATTCTCGACTTACAATGTTTTCAATTTATGATGGATTTATCAGGACATGATCCCATTGCAAGTCAAGGAGCATCTCTGTGCCACAATTTGTCTATCTATTCATCTATTGATAGACATTGGGACTGCTTCTACCTTTTGGTATTGTGAATAATGTTGCTATGGATATTGGTATACCTGTTCAAGTACCTGTTTTCAAGTATTTGGATACACACCCAGGAGTAGAATTACAGGGTCATATGATAATTTTATGTTCAACTTTTTGAGGAACTGCCAAACTCTTTTCCACAGTGGCTGAACCATTTTATATCCCCACCAGCAATGTTTGAGGGCTCTAGTTTCTCCACATTCTTGCCAATACTTATTCTCCTTTTTTACTTTTTTTAAACTAACACCACCCTACTGTGTATGAGGTGGTGCCTTTTTGTGGTTTTGATTTATATTCCCATAATAAGAAATGATGTTTAGCAGCTTTTCATGTACTTGTTGGTTGTTTGTACATTTCCTTTGGTGAAATGTTTACTTTGAGTCTTTTGGCCCTTTTGTAATTGAGTTGTTTGTCCTTTTGTTGATAAGTTGTAAGAGTTCTTTATTCTGGATACTATACCCTTATCAGATGTATGATTTAGAAATGATCTTTTCATTTTATTGATAATATCTTTTGATGTACCAGTTTTTAATTTTGATGAAGTTTAATTGATCTATTTTTTCTTTTGTTGTTCATGCTTTTGGTGTTTCTCATATCTAAGAATCCATTGCCAAATCCAAAGACATAAAGATTTAATCCTGAATTTTTATTCTAAGAGTTTTGTGGTTTTAGCTCTTATATTTAGATCATTGATGCATTTTGAGTTTTTGTGGG